TCAATTGGTGAATCCACATAGCCTTATTTACACTTACGTGCTCATAGATGGAAGAGTTGGACTGGTAGGCTGTACCCGTTGGCAGAGCTGTCATGATGATGAGGCACTGTCCGGACGCACCCAAATCTATTCCACGCTCCAACTCGTTTCGCCAGAGCCGGAGTACATCGTAGGTGAGCATGTCCGTGGGTTCGATATGGATGAGGGCGATCTTGCCCTGTTGGATGGCCGTGACGTTGCGGGTTTCTAGCAGGAATTCCATCGCCAGCGTCGGTCGCGTTAGAAGAATGATAACTAAAATAAAGTGAGAAATTGGCGTAGAATCTTTGCGCGAGGTATTAAAAACGTTATTGGAAGTGGTAGTTTAACATCTAAGCGGGTAGATCTGGGAGTACATTTCAACTACACATAAGTTGCACGGCTAAGAGTCTCTCAAAGTGAATCCCCCCCACTCGATGGTACCCTCGAGCGAGAAACAATAGGGAAAAGAAAATTGAGTCTCAAGCAAATCTTGCCCAGTCTACCCTTCGTGCACCACGTTAACGAGCATTTCACCAGTAGGTATGCATGAGAGGCGATGACTGCAAGGTTCGCGCTTCGGTTGAGGACTTACGCATTACAAGCGACTACGACTCAACGATGCGTCGCAGAAATGACTACCTACGAGTAAGACGAGTATGTACGTGTGAGACAAGTAAATTTGCTTTGAGGGGGACACCGCACACCTGTTCTGAAAAGAAGGGAACGTAACGAACACTCAATGAATTGTCAAACCAGGTTTACTCTTAATAACGCGATACGACGGATATAAAGTATGGTGACTGCTGCATGAAACATTCCACGATTTGAAAAAGGCCGGTAATCACTCGCAGACAACATTGAGTAGGGTTGCAATACTGTTTATCATGCAGTCCAATTTCAATTATTTTCAGTCACACTAGGATGCCGACTCTGTTACGAGCTTATTTCTGACCGCTGCGAAAAAGTTTATTGCGGTTATAAATTCAAATATATTTTATGGAAAGCATACACGAAAAATCCTCTTTTGTACTTATCTGATAGAAAATAACGCCTTCTTTAAACTTTATTCTTAAAGGAAGGGTTTCCTTCGGTTTAAAAAAGTTTCTAAATTACCGAATGATTTCAAAAGCTACCGACTGCTAGAAATGAATCCAAGTTTTACAAACTGGATGCTGTGTTCATCCTGTTTAAGGAAAAGTACGTTCTTGCAAATGGATTGAGGAAGTGTTTGCATAGCTCTCATAGAATTTCGCGATAGACATGGATCATGCTGTATATATCAAAGACAGCATTGATAAATTGAAGGATACGATGTATTATGAATGAACACCGAACAGTCGTTAAAAACTCAAAATTAGAAATTTTGTTAAAACCAAAGGAAACCCTTCCTTTAAGAATAAAATTTAAAGGCGTAATTTGCTATCAACTAAGCACAAGAGGGGATTTTCGAGCATGCTTTCCATAAAGTATATTTGAATTTTTAGAGGCAGTCACAATCAATGATAAATGCATACAAATAAACAAAAAGCAGCATTTAATTAAAAGAAGTATTCAAGTAAATAGCCGGGAGTAAATTTTTGACAGGTCTGGGAACAGTAGGACTAATAGCTGAAATGCATACAGTAGTTATTAAGGTATATTCGAGCATAAATCTGCACTGCGTCGTCGACGCCGGAGTGATTAAAACCACAAAACGAATGAGGTTCACCACAATCCATTACTTATACAACTTTTCGTCACTACCTCTCTTAGTCCCCCACCCACAAAACCCTATTATGACCGGTCCCGTAAGAGAGCATTTTGGGGCAAGGGGTATCTAAGGTCCACTACTTACACGACTTTTGCCCAGTTTTCAAAGTAGTTTTAGAATGACACCGAACGTGACGTATCAGTCAGAGTAAGAGATAAAATACAAAAGCAGATGACTGACCATCCAGCTTGCTGTTTTTATCCTCCAACAGCGCCGAGTGATCCATGCCTGGACGCAGTCTCTGCCGACGCACCACATTGAAGGCTCCCGTGCCAGCATCTCCCAGCGCCAACATCAGGGCTATCTGCTGCGCCAGCGAGGCAATCTCGCCACCCTCCAGACTGACCTCATAGAAGACAGCAATGTCTTGCCACCCATAGGCGCTAAGCAGGGCACTCAGACCCATCACCAGAGTGGAGGTGGTCAGCACCAGACTGATGGCGGCAAAGTTGTTTGCGTCCATCCGGCGCAGGCTCATTGCCGTCGGCACCTGACTGCCCTCCGCCAGGGCCTCCTGTTTCGTGAAGACGGTCACCTGGCTTTGGCTGCGACAGGCATAGCTGATCTGATAGAGCCTATCCACCGCAGAGGTGCGCGACAGCCCCAGCGATATCCAGTCGTTGACTAGGTCACAGTCCACAGTGAGCGGGGGCCCCAGCAGCACAGAGAAGCCCGTAATCTCCATGGTGATGGCACTCATTACGTGCATGGTGTTCA